CAGTGAGTGGAACTTCGCCAAAAGTCCGATGTTTGCTTGACATCTCAGCATCTGTTTTGCAAGAAACGCCAAAGCAGGAATACTGTCAAGATCAACAAACGTATCTGCGGCGCGTTAGGCTCCATGGTGCTCGTTTTGTGTTTTCAGGTCGATGCTAAAAGAAAAGTATTGTTTTTACATTTTCCATGCCATATTTCTGACCAATAAGAAACCATTTCCAGCTCTGATCCCTCATACACACACACGCCTTACGAAATATATCTTTTTAATCCGGTCAACGATAACTGGCCAATTTAAATACAAAATAAACCAAATGGATTAATTCCACTCTAATTTGATGACTATGGCATGAGAGGAATGGGTACCAGTGACATGACTGAACAAGTGTGGCCACCCTGACTGTATGATATCCACATACAGACAGAAACACACACACATATGAATGCCATTTTATTAAATACAGACAAATGGTGATGGTAAATTAATCCATACACCATTGTGTTGCTTTCAACTGTGACTCACTAGCCTGGTCATAAGACAGCAGGTGCTAAGTCATTGTATTCAGAGTGACGAATGAAACCAGAGAGGCCAGAAAGCTTCACTGTGTGGTCACTCATTCTAAACCATGTTGTCAGATGATCAGGGTTAGCCTGTCAGCTATACGCCTGACAACCCCTATTAAACATCTGATGGAGGACATGTGCATTGTATGTATTAGGATGTCCATACATTACTCCAATTCATCCGATACTTGAGTTTATGACCACATATCCTGTAAAAGCAAGACAAAATAATGACATTCAAATTATTATAATTTGCTAAGGGTTTAGTGCTAATTCCCTAATTTTAGCTTGCTAGCATCCTAGATTTAAATGCTGGTCAACATTACTTGTGCAACAGGCAAATTAGCTTGCCGACAATAGCATTTAGCTAAAACCCAAAGCTAACTCAGCTGCTAGCATGTCTTTAGATTCTTATTTAATTTAAGACACTATTGTCACGCCTATGTGAACATATATCATAAACATGTTTGATGGAATTGTATGGAAGTTTAATTATTTGTATTTGTTGTCAATAAGGTTTAAATACTTCTTTACCTCATCAATGTTCAAAATGAATAAACATTGCAGGAGAGGATTAGTCAATTCTACTGTATTACTGTATTGCCCTTTTTACACTCTCCCCCTGTGTGTGTCACCAAAAGGGTAAGTTAATTTCTACCAGGGGCAGCTGTTCCTGTTGACATTTAATAGGAGATCAGAGAGCTGTGTGTGTGTGTGTGTGTGTGTGTGTGTGTGTGTGTGTGTGTGTGTGTGTGTGTGTGTGTGTGTGTGTGTGTGTGTGTGAGTATGTAGATCCCGACTGGCACCAGAGGAAAAAGTGGGGGATCAACCTCCTATTAAAGTGGATAAGGGGAACCTTCTGAGCTCCTTGAACTAAGTGCCAGAAGAAATCCATTTAGTAAAGGTCTTAATGAAAAGCAGGCTGTAGATGTAATCTGTTTAAAAGATACAAAGGATTTCATCAGTGTCTGTGAGACACTTGTTGTTGAAAGGTCAATTATTTAAAAAAAACAAAAACCTTAGGAAGACAAACTGATAAACGGCGGACAGTTTAACAGTGTACTTCTGCCTGTGTGGTCCGAATATGTCTCCTAGTGTTGGACATGATTAGTTTGGCTTTGTTTTGTACACTTGTCTAATGTGAGAAACCTGTTGAACATGTCAACTTCAGATTTTGCAAACTGTGCAGCCATTTTTTACTGCTTCCTGAGATCCTATAGAGTCTATAGACAACAAGACAAATTCAAAAGAATGGAAAATATATAATCTGCTCATAAAAATGAAAATGTTTTGCGGTCAAACTCTCCAGTACAGATTTTGCTTTTTGCCACTACAACCTTTTATTTTTGGCAAAAAACTTGTACGGCTTGAGCTAAGACAACATTTAGAATTCGAAAACTTTTACAGGAAAGACATTACTATTCAACCTGAGTCTCACTATTTTTTTTAAACGAAAAAATTAGTTAGCCTTCACATATTGCTGCTTTAGATGGAAAGAGAAAGTGACTGAAAGAAGATGGATGTTGGATATATTCTCAGCTCACATCTGGAAGCCTTTAGGGCCAGATCCCTCCAATTTCCTCTATGAGGTTTCCTAGTTGCTGCAAAAAAAGCAACTAAATATGCAGCAAACTAGCTACAGCATAGCCTTTCCCAGCTGACAACACAGGCTCACATTGCGGTTAATGTACAGCTGACACACAACAAACACTATTATGTAATCAGTCAGTCCAAATCAATCAAGATGATTAGGTGGTACTGATCCACATTGTGGTCATTCATTAGCTGCCAGCATGTGTGTGTGGTTTTCAGAATCTGTAGTGCACGGGAGGCGTGTGGCGCAGTAGATAGAGCCTTGGTGTTGGGATCAGGGGGTCACAGGTTCAAACCCCACTGCAGTCAGCATGTCGTTGTGCCCCTGGGCAAGACACTTCACCCCAAATTGCTCCTGTGGCGATTGCCCACAGCATTGAGTATGTAAGTCACTTTGGATAAAAGCGTCTAACAAGTAACATGTAATGTAATGCACGGAACATGTAAACGTTTACTTTAATTAAATGTATTATATCAACATATTTCACATAAATGTATTAGGTTAGTTGAAAGCAAAAATATAAAAAAATATCAGGTTCAACTAATATTATTGCTTTCAACTAACCTAATACAGTCAGGCGAAATGTGTTGACCTAATATATTTAATTAAAGTCAACGTTTCAGTTTTTTCAGTGTGACCGACAATTGATCATGAATGCTGGCTGCCTCCATGTTTGCTGAAGACACAGAGGGACACTGTCTCTGTGCTCTGTAGAGAACAAAAGGCGAGAGGACAGTCAGACGGATTTCAATATACAGGATCCCTTAGCCCTTTCACACCAACGCGGTACCCGTTCTAGCTCCGTGCTTGCGCTCTTCTGGTTCGGAACCGGTTCTTCTTTTCAGCCCCAGTTTTGTTCACACCGCCCAGAGCCCGACTGGTGCTCCCACGGCTGCGTCATGACGTCACTGTTTACGTCGGATCACGTTTCTCCCCAACGCTGCTCACAACAACAACAACAATGGGGGACTGCGTCGGGTCGATGATCGTGTTGCTTTTAATCATACGAAGCCAGATTACATTAAATAACTACTTCTCAACCCTTATACTTTTCTCCAGAGTGCCGTGGTTCATTGTTTATTAATGTGTTTCAGCGGCATTTACCGACCGCTGCAGTGCTGCCCGCGGTTTGGCATCACAACGCTGCTATGAAAGTTTCTCTGGTACAAAATGGGTGATGTTAGCATAGCAACCGAAGCTAAACTGACTATCTAGACAACTTGCTGCTATCCTATTGTGGCATAAGCCGTTTTCTACAGGCACATTTTACGGGCGTATTTTTCATTATGATTCTACTTGTGATGGTTGGACATGACAACCTGTGCAGCCCATGTATTGATTCCATCCGATAGCTGCTATAGTACAAAACAAAACGTCTGCCTGCTCTCCACAATGATCAATGACAGCGAACGGATGGTCAAAGACAAAGTAAGGTACAAATAAACAGAATCACACTAAGCCTGGTGAGTGTTGCCTGACTTTATAAAGTGTGTGGTTGCGTTCTAGTCACTTTGCTCAGCGCTACTGCTTGTTACAAATATTATTTATTCTCCGGCGTAAGCGTGACGTATGCGGTTCTTGCTTCTAGACCAACAATTTTTTGGAGCTTGGTAAGAAGGTTTTCGGGGGAAAGAGCCGGCTCCGCTGCGGTGTGAACAGGAAAAACGGTGCTTACCAGGCTCTAGCTCCGAACCGGCCCTGGAACCGCGTTGGTGTGAAAGGGGCTTTGGCGATGCTAAGAATCCAACACATAGCAGTGTTGTAGGAGCAACAATGCTTTCTTCGAAAGTACTGAAGTTACTTTAGTGCGGTCTCATACAATACTAACTGTCCCACCCAAGGAGACAGCAACTCATTAGAGGCACTTATTGTCATTCACAACTAATTTGGAAAAGCTTTTATTTTATTATCTTTTAATTCAGGAAGATAAAGCTTGGGATAATCTGCTGCATTCATGTTAAAACATGTGAAGGATAACAGCTTAATACATACTCTTGTGTGTTTAACAGAAACTTTTTAAGACAGTGTTATGTTCGCACGTGAAACTTTCAAAACATAGGCATTGGGATTACAAAATACTTGGAGTCACAGACTAAATTCATGTTGTAATGCTTACAGGGTACACACTCTGAAGGTCTATTTATAATGGAATATCATCAAGTCCTTGTGTAAACATTGCCATTCAGCAACATTCCCATATAAACACCACAGCCCTGTGACGTGCATTCTTTACAGCTGACAAACCCTCCATCCAAATCCCATTTGAAACTTGGCATTTTTACTTATGACTGCGGCATAAACCAACCAATATGTTAAGTATCTTTAGAAAACATGCAATTGTGCTGGAAGTTTCGGCATACTTTATTTACCAAGCTGCAGTTTGTTCTAAAAGAAATGTCAACTTAAAAGACAGATATCCATTACCACAGTGTATATTGTTGTGAAAAGCTTGTGGAAATATAAGCAGAGCCAGGATATTTTAGTAGAAGCTTCTAAGAATCTAAGCTATGGTTTTATGCTACATGTCAAAGTAATAAGAGTGTAAAATAAGTATTGCAACATTAATAAAGGCTAACATAATTTAATTAGTTCTTTTTTTCCCCAATACTCGACCTGACCTGGAACTATAACATTATAACTATTCAATAGCACTCAACTTAATGTATTACAAGTCTCACGTTCTGGTTATTATTTCTTAACTAGTCCTGTTTACTCCTCCAGCGGGATACTCCAGAGCGTTCCGTTTTTCTGTCGACTCGTGTCGAAACTAAACCCGGACAATCCTCGAGCACTAAAGTCGTCAACAACCGGTAGATATAAATATAGTATGGTTGATAACTCACCCTCCAAGAGCCTGGAAATCAGCGAGTCGACGTCCAACTCCCCCTCCGCCATTTCTGTAGCTAACAGCTCTGCCCGCCGCAGTGTGGAGCAGGCAGAGGGGCAGGGCAGGCCCCGCCTCCCACTCAGGCCTCCCGTTTAGGACTATTGTGCTACATTCAATGTGCCTCGGATACCCTATTCTCTACCTTAAAAAAGAAAGCGGAGAGCTTTTAATTACTCGTTAAGGATCTTAACAAGTTCTTTCAAGCATATTATTGTAAAATTCAATATTGAAACATAATTAATATGTTTGATGGCAATTCCCACTTTCCAACAGTTGCCTAACTGAATGTTGTTGTATTGTTGTTTTTTTAACTTCCCATTGGGATTTCCGAGAGTAGTTGAAGGCATCGAAATATCCAGTGCCTTCGCAACAGGTCACTGTGATATTACAATGTAATACGAATACAAAAGTAATACAATAATGTTTTAAAAAATATAAATGTAAAAAACTAAGCTGAAAACTTTAGTGAGCTTTAGTGAGTACACTTTTAGAGTTTAATATTCAAGTGTCTTTCGTTTCTGGTAGCTTGTAGGGAAATGATCAACTGACTCAGATAATATTGGTAATTATGAGACGCTTTTTTCGACCCATGAAACGTGTGGACAAACCTATGGGACAAACTAATAAACAAGAGACATGTTGTATGAGGGGAATAATGCACAGTGCTGCTAATGACACCATTGATTTATTCACCTACAGCGCCCTCTTCTGGTCAGAGGGAATTGTGTTTCTTAAGTTTCTTGATCAACTGTTTTTATGATGATTAAATCATTTCTTTTTTGTTGAACAAATGAAAGTAAACAACAAATACTATTTAATAAACAGAGGTAGTAGCCTTACATGTTTAATGGCACTACTTTGTCAATGTCAAGGCCTGGAAATAGATGTTATTGTAGCAGCAGCAGAGTGTAACACTCTCCAGTTTATGACTAAATCCAGAAGTTATGTTATCGCCTCTCCCACTCACAACCTCTTTTTTTGTTTCCTTTCAAGTGCGTCATCTGGGTATTTCCGCACTGTTTTGAGTGGGTGGTGGCGAGTTGCACTGGTTGCACTGCAGAGAGAGAAAAGGCGAAGGGCTGCAGCTGGGTCAAGCTAGCCAAGAGACAGCACCGGAAACAGAATGGTTTTCTCTTCAGAATAAAACGGTCAATTGACGTGAAAACACATGCACCCAGTAATGATGTCGTAATAACATTAACCTAGTAGGCTACTTGTGTAGGATAAATGTTTTACAAAACAAAATAAGCCGTATAACCTCAACACACACAGTCCATGTAATCTGAGCACAATGTCCACAAATAATAATGTCAAAACTTAAATCAGATATATTACCTCAATTGACACAGACAACGAAAACAACTATTTCAAGATCAAGTTTAACAGTTGAACAGACATTGTACGGTACAATTTAGCTTCTATGTTTTTAATATTCATTAAACTGATCATTAAAGATCAGTGATTAGTTGTTTGGACCTTAAAGGTAGGGTAGGTAAGAATGGAGAAACCAGCTCGAGTGCAGACGGCCATCCAGTTATTTTAGGCTGGTCGTGCTTTTTACAGCGCCACGGCTTCCACAGATGACGTTTTTTTATGTATTTATTGTCAAAGCATTTAATATATTCATTGCTATCGGGATGTTAAGAGCATTCCATGGAATATAACAAAAAGCGTTTCTGAAGTGAATTACCTACCCCACCTTTAATATTATTTATATTGTTTTACTCATGTCTTACTTCTATTTTATAGGTATTATAGGTTTCGACTTGTATTATCTATTTTACTATTTCATAATTTAAATTTGGTGTTTAAATCCTTTAAATCTTATTAATTATTAACTTTGTATTATTAATGTCTTATTTGGGTTTTATTTTCATTATTTATTTAATAGTTATTTATATTTTATCCTATTTATTGATTTTGTCTTCCTTTTTCTCATACAATTTAAAAAAAAGGGTATGTATTTGTACATTTCATTCTTATTAAATATTGTTAACTGGTGTTTTCTGAAATGCTGTGGTGTTTTCTGAAATGCTGTTGCGTTTTGTGAAATGCTGTGGTGTTTTCTGAAATGCTGTTGTGTTTTCTGAAATGCTGTTGTGTTTTCTGAAATGCTGTGGTGTTTTCTGAAATGCTGTTGCGTTTTCTGAAATGCTGTGGTGTTTTCTGAAATGCTGTTGTGTTTTCTGAAATGCTGTGGTGTTTTCTGAAATGCTGTGGTGTTTTCTGAAATGCTGTTGTGTTTTCTGAAATGCTGTTGCGTTTTCTGAAATGCTGTGGTGTTTTCTGAAATGCTGTGGCGTTTTGTGAAATGCTGTAGTGTCTTGCACTTCAGGGCCACCGTACTTTTCAGACACATTGATGGAAATAGCAGCAATTCACGAATAGATTCAATACATTTTGATGAAGACAGTAAAGTGGACTTTTCATGTAAAATACACGTTCTTGAAGTTAATTGAAGTTAATATGGACTTTTTTCAGCGCTGTTCTCACCGGAAGCCCTGCATTATCATACCGCCCTCCCAACGTCCAGCTTTACTACCTGTCGTTCACCGAGGTGGGCGGAGCCAGGAAGGCGACAGAACAGCAATGTCAAGAAGTTTATGGAGTTGGCACTGTCGTGTATGCATCGTCTTTTAGCAAGAGAACACAAACAGATAAACAGTGGTGTTGACGGAGAAGCGTGAGTCGGACACGGAAACAGCCATGGACGGTGAGTGGAAGTGGGTTAAGCTGCTCGGCTTGTTTACCCACATTAGACACTGGAGCTGAAATTGTACAGTGAGTTGTTTTGCGCACAGGGGAAAGCCCCGCTATCACTGCGCTAACATTGGGAGTCTGCAGTTCCCGGATAGTACGCTACCATACAGTAGGAAGTTTGACATTACTGTGCTTTAATGGCTTATACCTGCTACATCCGGTAACAGTATGCTACATTGAGTGTGTTTATTCCTCTGTGTGTAGCTAACTCACCTGACAGTCTCGAGCTGCCAAAGGGCCTATTGGGTTAGTCCAACTCATGGATTTCTTCAGTGACTGAACATACAAAACCTCATTAAAAAAAAAAAAAAATCTATATATTTATATTTACCTAACTATCTATTTATTGAAAGATTTAAACTATGTTGTTGTTGATAAATTATCTTCAGTTCAGCAAACATAAACCCACTAGGTAGCATTGGTTTCAATTAAAAAACCAGCAGTGTAAAGTAACTGAGTTGATTTACTGAAGTACTGTACTTAAGTACAGTTTTGAGGTACTTGCACTTTACTTGAGTATTTCAATGTTTTGCTACTTCTACTTCACTTCAATCCAGAGGTAAATAGTTTACTTTGCAGATTTGGATTAATGATGTGAAATCAACACTTGAATAAGACTTTATGTCACCTGGAATACAATTCAAAGCTACCTTTCAAAGTAATATAAGTTAGCTGCACCTTAACCAGGTGTAATAACACTTAGTTTAAGGCATTATAATTATAATCAAAACATATCATATATATTATTCTGAAATGGACCAATCTGTGGAATGATTACTTTAACTTTTGCTACTTTAAGTATATTGTGATGCTTATACTTTTGTACACTTTTACTTGAGTAACATTTTGATACACTTTTACTTGTAACAGAGTGTTCCTACACTGTGGTACTTCTACTTTTACTTAAGTACAAGATCTGAGTACTTTCACCACCTCTGAAAATCTATTTTATTATGAATGGTCCTCACTGCTCGAGAACCGCCCACCTCAGTCTTAGTGGATGGACGTATGGAAACAGCACTTCATACTTTGTACAAGTCCCAAATAGAAACAGGCTGTTTAGTCGCTCAAAAGCATGCTGATGTGAAGAGTATCCTGTGATGATTTAAAAACTGCCATCTTTCTATTTGATTCCACTTTTACCTTTGTCTGCAAGCCAAATAACATGAAATACCACGATAAACAATCAACAACATCAATGACCTAAACTCCCAAAAATATTGACTTTGTTAATATACTGTATATGATTTTTCCATGTCTACCATATGGATAGGAAAGAGACAGTGAAATTAAATCCATGTCAAAACCCCTTTTCTTAGGGTAATTTAAAGTTAAAAATAACTCACACAAACGTCTCACTTCCTTCATCTCTGATTTGATATTAGTACATTAAGTCAGTTTTGGAGGCCTTTACTTTCACTTTCACATCAGGCCCTCATTTGCCTCTCAAATAATAACAATTGTAATTATTGTGGCCTTTTTGGTTTGTCTTATTCCAAGATCCACATTGATCTAAATCAAAGCCTGTTGTGATGTCAGTGTTTCCCCTACCATTGTCTTGGAGGGGAGCTGCGCCCCGCCAAAAGGAGCCCCCTCCCAACGGAGCCCCCCCAACGGAGCCCCCCTTGAAATTCAAGGTGTTTTGAAAAATATATATAATTTTTTTTTTTTATAACTATTTTTTTTTCAATATATATATAGCACCAAATTGCAACTAATCTATATCTACTGTCACTTTTCATATTGAACATGTGCTCTTTTATAAACTAAACACTTTCATTTTAAGTTGTGAGTTTAGTGTTTTTGACCCCCCCCCTGCTCAGGCTGCACCCCCCCAAAGCAGTAAGCCTAGGGGAAACACTGCATGCTATGAGTTGGGTCTGGGAAGCAGGCATGTTACAACTTGGGAATCCTCCTACCAATGCTTTCACATCAAACAAGTCCTACTAGCCTTTGGGTGGAGCTTCGGCCTCCTGACTTTCTGTCACACCCCGCTTCTTTCTATGAATCTTAACAATTCATTAACCAAGTCTGAAACCGGAGCGCTCCAATTACAATGGAGGCTCCTCACAACAAGGCAGGTAATCTGACACCAATATTACACCCTGCCTGTCATTGTTTGCTTCTTCTTCTCCTTTCTGCACTTGGCAGGCAATTTATAGCGATTTATTATATTTAGCTGGGAAGCCCTTGTTTTTCAGCGACCTTTGACCTCTTTGGACACAGCTCTGTCTAGTAGATTTCCACCCTGGCCACACAATGACAAACCCTTACCAAACCACAAATATGTGCGGAAAGCAGCCTTTGGTTTATGTCATCATCACTACCAGTGTATTCTGTGTTCAATGTACTTTGAATGGCGAACCACTAATTGCTCTAAGATTTTGACGAACAAGCGTTTAACCTTTCTTTTCTTGTTGTTATCCCCCACAGCTGTGTATGGATGGGGTATGACCCCGCACAACCAAGGTAAGAAGGTTTCCTGTAAATAATTAGTGTTTAATTTGACCCGGCTCTGACTTTGAACTAGTAAAGATTTGACACTGTGTACCTATAACAGACCGATTTCTGTGTTGACGCACTGATTCTGTGATTCATGCTTTCACAATCTGGACAGAGACTTTGTTTCTGTATTTCCAAAAGACAGCCACACCACATTTACGTCACATTCTTCTTCTTCTTTCTCCATCAGTCCAAGCAGCGGGCCCCTTCATAGAGATCATCGAGCAGCCGAAGCAGAGGGGCATGAGGTTCAGGTATAAGTGTGAGGGGCGGTCAGCTGGAAGCATCCCCGGAGAGAAGAGCAACGAAACCACCAAGACCCACCCAGCCATCAAGGTGAGACTTAAACTCCATGTATTGAGGATGTTTTCTAGGTTTCATTTAATGGAGCTTAGATAACATGATAATACACTTTGGTCAAAGTTGGTGTAAAGTATCGCCCATAATGTTATTCACTTTTACTCTACCTCTATTATAAAACAATACTACTCTACTGTTCTTGCTGTTAAAAATGTATGCAATTAGAAATATCTGACAAGTCCATTCTGTTAAAGAGGACATATTTTGCTCATTTTCAGGTTCATATTTGTATGTTGTGCTTCTACTGTGACATGAATCCATGGTTTAATGTTCAAAAAGCTCTTTATTTTTCTCATTCTTAATATAGACTATATTTAGGGTCGATATGTGTTGACTTTACTTTAAAATAGCAGGTGTGTGTGTGTGTGTGTGTGTGTGTGTGTGTGTGTGTGTGTGTGTGTGTGTGTGTGTGTGTGTGTGTGTGTGGTGTGTGTGTGTGTGTGTGTGTGTGTGTGTGTGTGGTGTGTGTGTGTGTGTGTGTGTGTGTGTGTGTGTGTGTGTGTGTGTGGTGTGTGGTGTGTGTGTGTGTTGTGTGTGTCTGTGTGTGTGTGTGTGGTGTGGTGTGTGTGGGTGTGGTGTTTGTGGTTGTGTGTGTGTGTGTGTGTTGTGTTGGTGTGTGATGTGTAACCACCCGACCCGTCTTGTAACCGACGGTATGCCCGTTTCGTAAAACCATGCTAATGTGTGTGTGTGTGTGGTGTGTTTGTGTGGTGTGGTGCATAAGCTGAGTTATGATCGGTCATAATATCACCGACTTTGGTGATGATGAAATAGTTTACAGTGAGATTTACTCACATACTTGGCCATACTCACGCAGCCCTACAAATGAACTGAGATAGGTCCACAGTTTAGAGATATCCCGCCCCTTAGCGTACAATGTGTTGGAGTGCTAGCCAATAGAAGCGAGAGAGTTACATTGTGGTGTCATTATGTTAAGTAAGTAAACAAAGGAGTCCAATGGAGGTGCTCTGGATAGGAAGGCCTATATTAGGGCCTCTTTATTAAAAAAAAAGAACAATTGGCAGAGTAATCTATAATGGACATAAAAAACTCATCACATAAATGAATTGTCTTAACAAAAGTTACAAAGTGCTTAACAATAAAAGCAGTCAAGCTTTAACTTTAACATATTATTTTTAATTTGAACTTTAAATGGAATTTACTGTAGTTGACCATGACAAAACAAAAATGCTACAATGTAAAACAGGGCTACATTACATAACTTTTGAGATATTACATGAAATGTGTCAGTTTTAGCAGTTGTCGGCCATTGACGATAACCCTCAACTAGCCTCTAAGCCAGAATAAACGTTGCTCATGTGTCATTCGGATTTCCTTTTGGAAATATGAAACTATTGCATATTCCTCTCACAGGTGCACAACTACAGTGGCCCCCTGCATGTTCGCATCTCATTGGTGACGAAGAACCCACCCCACAAACCTCACCCGCATGAACTGGTCGGAAAAGACTGCAAACATGGCTACTACGAGGCAGACCTGCAGGAGAGAAGAATACACAGGTAGACTGGGGTGTGAATGTCTGGCTAATGTGTGACAGAAACATCTCGCACGTAAGAGAAACTGGAGGAAATGATGTTCAAATTGATTGATTCATCCTTTGTGGGAGATGACGTGTTTTCTGGCGTGTACATTTAGTCGACAGTTTCATCACGAGTTTATAGATGTGTCAAACATTAACAGAACACACCACTTACAGAAACGCGGTTCAGTATCGTATCCTCCTTGACAATCATACATGTCACTGCTACAAATAAATAAAATAAAAAGCATTGGGGGGGCTTTGCAAGAAATGCACAATAACAGCAAATGAGACTATTTTTCAATGATATAAGGTTTATTATTGCATCATTTGACCAGTCTATCTGAGCAGAGACCTGTCTATCTTTATCAGAAGTGTGATGCAATTCAAACAAACAGTGTGTACTGCCCACCACTGTCAGTGTATTGTGATTCAAAGGTGAGTGCACTTGTTTATATTAGTCATTTGTTTTTTCACATCGAAAATGGTACATTGCATAACAAAAAGCTAGATAAGTTATTTTAGTACACACTATAGTAGATATTAGGGTGTAATGATATATTCATTTGGATTGATTCAATTATCCAATATCATGAATCTAAAGTGGAAAAAAAATACCCTTATCTTTTATCAGGGACTATGGATGAGCTCAAATCTAAAATCCAGCATATTTACACTTGAAGCATTATTTGTCTAAAGAGTCATTAATGTGCATTGTCCCTATTAAAATAAACAATTAAAATGAAATGAAATATTATAGTGAAATTCCCAAGCCTAATTTCAACACACCTCCTTATAAATATTAAAACAATTGTTAATCATGGGGAATGCGGCACATAACTGGTCTTTTTTATTTCTTTGATCATAAAGAATAGATTGTTTTCCGTTCAAATGCCTGGAAGAGGCCTATAAAACAATGGTCAAAGTGTATTGAATGAGCTTTTTTCTCGGGTGCTATAAATATAAGATTATGTCAAATAGGCACAGGGTATTGTATCATAATATTAGCACAACCCTAAATTCAATCATATTGTTGCAGCAAATATAGTATTGTTGTCCTGATAGTTGAGATAATATCTCATCATCTTGAAACTTGTGGTTAACACCCTTAGTGTCTCAGTACTACAACACAATTAGAATAAGGTCTTCTAGGCGAGAGAGAGTTATTTTCCCAAATAAAACGTTGTTTTTTGTGCCCATCAACATTAATATACAGAACAGAAACAGATAATCATTTATGTTAGTGAAATATCAGTTAGGCATTAACATATTCATAATATTGGATGTATAAAATATCTTTATATATTGGTACTGAGCATGTTTCTACTCACACTTTCCTCAGTCCTTTCAACCTGTAACCTAACTGTAAGTCTAAGTGTTTGACCACCAATATGTGTTTGTTCTAGATTACTTTGTTTCACTGTAAAACCAATGAGAATTAATATCGTCAGTTAGAAAGTACATGCATGCTTCAGTGGTTTCTGTCTTCTGGTTTCGGTCTAAGACTGTATTTGCTTTCAGTTTTCAGAACCTGGGCATACAGTGTGTCAAGAAGAAGGATGTGAATGAAGCCATCACGTGTCGGCTGCAGACCAACAACAACCCCTTCAACAGTAAGTTCTGCAGAGAGAAGCGAGTTGGACACAAGTGTGATGCCATTATTTTACTGAACTGATATTTAGATTTCTGTCTTAAACCTTGCTAAAATAAGAAAAAGAAAAGGAGAATCTCATTTTAAATATGCTAAAACAAGAAGGCAGTGTGATAGTTTAGCTCTATGATTTTGTCATTCTGTCCTAACCCTAAACATTTGTTTTTAAATTTTTTAGCAAGTTTTTTTTTTCGCTCTGTTAAGAACTAGCTACAAGTTAGCATTAGCAGTGATAGCCACTGCTACAAAAAATTCCAACTGTTTACCTCATTTCTTTGAGTTCACAGCAGTGGGTTCTAAGCATAAAATATGTTCAAGAAGTATCAAGCTAGCTACTGTCATGTATACACATTTTTTTAATTTAAGAGTCTTGTACCTTTACTTTATCGCTGTGTTTCTCTGTCTACCTATTTATACAACACATTTGCATGTAGCTTTTACCTTAGCTATGTGTAAAAAGTAGCTAACTGGGTAGAGTTAGCATTAGCAATGATACCCACCTAAACATAGAATGTGTCCCAACAGTTTTACTAACTTCTCTGAATCTACAGCAGTGGACGCTTAACACAAAATAGGAACAATTCCATGATAGTTATGATATGAACGGTTCTGTATTTTAGAAAAACAAGTCTATGTGGGTTTGCTGTCCTGGCTCCAGGATGGTGGAATGAGCTCCCCATTGACATCAGGACGGCAGATAGCTTGCACATCTTCCGGCGCAAACTGAAAACTCATCTCTTTCGACTCCACTTCGAGCGATAGATTTATTAACAAAGCACTTTTATACTAATAAAGGACTGGCTTTTCTAAAGCCAGTTGAGTAGCACTTGAAATGTTTTTGCTCTATGAAACCTGATGTACTTATATGATTCTGTTTTCTTCAACTTCTATCTTGTTGGTCGAACGCACTTATTGTAAGTCGCTTTGGATAAAAGCGTCAGCTAAATGCAATGTAATGTATGTACCGTTACAATAAGATCATGAAATGTAAATAGCCTACATATGACAGGATGCAATGCTCTGCCAGACACATTGTGAACCCCACCCTTTTCCCTGCTGTGTGTTGGCTGCAGTTCCCGATGCAAAGGTGTGGGAGGAGGAATTTGACTTGAACGCGGTCCGGCTTTGCGTCCAGGCCACCATCACTCTGCCTACCGGGGATCTGATTCCCCTGAAGCCTGTGGTATCGCAGCCCATCTTTGACAACAGTGAGTTGGCAACACATATGTTGCAGATGTTGGAACTCTAATGTCAGAGCTGAAACCATTAGTTGATCTATTAGTTAATCAACAGTAAATGAATTGGGGACTATTGTGATAATCAATTAATGATGTTAATAACAAATGTCTGATTCCAGCAAATGAGAGGATTCTGTACCTTTCTTTCTCATATATTATTGTAAACTAAATATTTTTGACATTTGAAGGAATAACATTTGTGTTGGTAGTTGCAACCCTGGCTTATAAATATACTTTTGGGTAGAAGCTCTTTAATATGACATATTTTTTGGACAGTGTTAACTAACATGAATTTGGGGGAAATACCAGTGTTTATTTTATTTATTGGTTATTTGATAGGGACAGATACAGTTTACATAGACTAACGGCTATCTAATGCAAGTCACATAGCGTTTATAGCAGAAGCTGGTCTGGAACACTCCTCCCTGGAAGGGCTTTTTGTTTCTGTGTAAGGAAGTTCACAATCATCCTAAACATCATTAAACTCCCTCAGACACTCTTTGTTCCTCTTTGCACTTGAACTTTTCTTGTCAGCTCCAAGGTATTTACAAGAATTAGTCTATATATGTATAGCAAGTATCTCGATTCTTACTCTGTTGCTGAACATTCACACCACAAAACCCTACCCACAAAACACAGCTCTATACATAGATGTATAGTATGTACGCATCTCTTTCCTGAATTGTGTGTCACTAAGTCCAGCATTTACTGGACAACAGCATGAGAGCATACAATCATTTCACTTCAACATTTATTTAAATGTTGAAGTGAAATGATTGTATGCTCTCATGCTGTTTCAAACATGAATATTGTTTCTTTTCAGAGAGGATTATTTAAGTACTGTTGTCAGAGTCCGTTAAAGTTTAAATCTTCCAGACAAAATGAGAAAAGTGCCGGTCAAAAGTCTTCTTTGTTATTTATTGAGCTTTAAAACAAATTGATAACGACTCTATATTAAACAAACTAATTATAGTAGATCAACTACATTATTCAAAAGTATACAGTAACTTTGGATAATAACAAAGGAATAAACGGAGCCTCTCTTTTCCTCTCTCCCTCTCTCCCTCTCCTGACAGCCTGTCAGTATCGTCTCATGCAGCTCGCTGATCCAGTAATGAGTGACCCGACAGTGAAGAATAAACATATTTATAACTAGGTTAGGTTGTTCCGGAGGTAGATAAAATAGCTAAGTGTGTTAGTTCTAACTTGAAGTGTGTGTTTTGCTCCGCTCACCAGTCCTTCACAGCGGACAGAGCTGCAGGTGATCACAGAGCTGCATCATGTAGAGCTGCAGGTGATCATGCAGAGCTGCTTGTCTCCGTCAGCAGCAGCTGATCTGATCTCTCTCTCGTGTCCGATTAGACTTCACTCGCGTTTTTGTCCATATCGATCAGATCTAGCTAGTTCTGGCTAATGATATGACTGCCTGCTTATCAAAGGACACCAAACAATAAGCGTTGCTTGGCAACGGGGTGTGGAGGCAAAGTATAGCGCAGAATTATGCATTTGTTTACATGAGGGGTCAAAATGTCCCCTTCAGGAGGATAAATCTCTTTCTCCACATTAAATGTTAGACATTAGATTAGAATGTACTGTTCTTGTCTGTCACATAAGTGGCGCAACTGATGCGATATTGCGCTAAGGGGGAATTATTTTGACCGGACATTTTGTCCGGAGAGATTTAGATTTGCCGGTCTTCAGCATATTTTACCGGTCATAGTCCGGTAATTACCGGCTACCAGAAACTCTGACTGTTGAGTCTGCAGTGTTGAAGTTGAGGTTTTATTAGATACATATTTTAGGTAGTCCAAAATGTGAATAAGTGTTAGTGCTGAGATTCAAATCTGAGGAAATACAATGAATAACAAAATAATTCTACAAATCAAGATTCATAAAAAAAACTATTGAAAACAGCAATAATGAATTTATAAAAATACAAAAAACAGAAAAGATACAATGAAAATAAATATATTTTTTGAATTCCTGCCGAAGGTTTGCAATATTGATTCTTCAATAATAGCCCGAGTCTTTCTGCATTTAAATGTGTCAGGTTAAAAATTATTTGTATTTACAGGTTTTCAGGGTCGCCCAATAGCTCAGTGGTATTTACAAGTTTTCATAAATGCTTTTTTTTTTCTAAAAGGGGCGCCAAACACAGCTGAGCTGAAGATCTGCCGAGTCAACCGCAACAATGGAGGCTGCAAAGGAGGGGATGAAATATTTCTACTGTGTGACAAAGTGCAAAAAGGTACAATAAGCCTGTAGAGAATGGGATGGGTTACATATTTAAGGAATAAATACTTTAATATTATTGAGTGTGTGCTTAAGAATAAGATGGCTTCGTTGTGTCACAGGGTCTTCTTTGTGTAATGCAAAGCAGACACATTATTTCTAAGTGACTTCAATCACAAACCAAAAGATGTCTTCCTCTATTCCCCTGTCCACTTTTTCCAATGTTCTAATTCAATTATGAACATGCTATGTTCATTGACAACTTCTTTGCACTGTGTATTTGTGCCTGCTAAATGAGTAAACTGTAGAACACTGAGAAAAACAAAGCAAAAAGATATGATCATTATCAAAGAACCCACTTGCAGTATTTTGGTTGTGCTGTTAATAATGTGAAGTTTGTGTTCTCTATCTTATCTCTCTACATTTCCCATTCTGTGTTCCTTTGTAGAGGACATCGAGGTGCGCTTCTTCCAGGACTCCTGGGAGGGAAAAGGCACTTTCTCACAGGCTGACGTCCACAGGCAGGTGGCCATTGTGTTCCGCACACCGCCGTACCGCGATGCTAACCTCACCGAGCCCATCAGAGTCAAGATGCAGCTGCGTCGGCCCTCAGACCGCGAGGTCAGCGAGCCAATGGACTTCCAGTACCTGCCCTCTGACCCAGGTAAGAGGCAATGTTCCCATTATTCCTGTAATGTCAAATAAATGCCGAAGTCACTCTAAGATGTTCTTGTTTATTAACTCCTGTAGATGAATACAGGCTGAATGAGAAGAGGAAGCGTACAGGGGACATGTTCCAGAGCCTGAAGCTGGGGCCCATGCTCTCTAGTGGTATGACATATTTGTTTCTGTCACTACCACTGCTATATATATATAATATTGTATTTAAATGTTCTGTTTCAATGTAATCTAATCATGTCTGCTGAAATGTTAGTGTCCATTCCACAAGATAGACGGCACATAAGCCCGGCAAGGAGAACAATCACAACCAAGCCTCCATCTATGAACGCACAAGTTGGTGAGTCTGTTTAATATGTCTGAAAGAAACATTTGCATATGTTACAAAATGCAGTAAATTTGACCTGCAATAATCTAAAACATGGACTGGGGTTCAGTTCCATCTGCGGTGGTCCTGGGTTTGTATTTACACGTCATCCCCTCTGTCACCCCAACGATCAGCACACCTTTGCCATAAACTGATTATTTGTAGGTCATCTTCTGCATAAAGATAATGTGATTTTCAATAGTGAAATTTTAATTCCTTCTTGCTTGTCATGTGTGTCTCCAGCAGCTGTGGTGCCCTCTGGTGCCAGTGGAGCCAAACCCCAGTCTTCCTACTCATATCAACCGGGCCAGCTTTTCTCAGTCCAGCCCAAGATGGAGCCAGTCTCTGCTGCAACTACAAACCAAACATGGAAAATCATGGAGAGCCTGCACCTGGGCTCCCAACCCAAGGCCACTCCAGTGCCAAACTCTACCACCACGTCCACCGCCAACCAGGACTACTCAACCGTCAACCTGGCAGACCTGCACGAGTTCTTCCCCAACATCTCCTCGGCCATGGCCCAGGAGACGGCAGCTTCTCAGGCCGGTGCGTCCTCCTCACAGAGCAGCAGCTCCTTCACCCTGCAGGGCTCTCAGTACCGGGTGGACCCACCACTTGTGGACGATGATATCCCAGAGTTCCCAAGCTTTTCCGAAGCCCAGCCCCCAGGTGTTCTGGATAACCTAAACATGGACGACTTTGAGGACCTCCTGAACCCGAACCTCATGAACGAGGGTGGAAACGTCCCTGTGATCTTGGCTTCAGCTTCATGCCAACAAGCTCACAGCTCGTCTTACGCTGCTCACGCCGCAGCATCCCAGATCACATCTGACCCCGCCGGCCTCCCAGGAAGCACCTGGATGAATTACCCCAACAGCATTGTCCACCTGCTCCAGAACGAGGGCATGATTGACATGTCGTCCAACAACGGCAACCACCGCTCCACCGTGCTCGATGAGTTCGACGAGTTGATGTCTGCAGACGAGGATCGTCTTATTTCCATTTTTAACAATGGAAGCCAAGCTGGGTTTGTGTCAGGACACCCGACTTAAAGTTTGTCCAAGTGATTTTTATACGGACAAACTAAGACCACATGTATCTGCCCTTCAGAACTATAAGTCCTTAGTTGTTACAAAAGGAAAGAGGGTGGATTAATTAGGGCTTGTAAAAGATGATATGTAGCAAAACTGCTCACCGTGTACATGCTTTTTAATAACACCAAAACAAGGAATCTTTCTGGTATTCAATAAGTAGCATTTATTTTCCGGATATCATTGTTCAGCATCAATCATTAACTTTGTTCTATAAAGACGCTGAATGCATTTTATCAAACGTTTTCCTGTTGATGTTATTTTCTGTGGAACATGTTTTTGTACAATTGTAGTAACTCTGGTCAGTGTTAATGTGATTATAACTCTGTATGTTTGGTTAAAGCGGTAGGAGTTCGCAGTAGGTTTTGAATCACACCTGGAGGTAAGTCTATACAAATAATGTCCTTGTAGTTAAATATCCACATTTATGACTATGACTTACAAATACATTGTCTTTTAAGGTCAGCAGCAACAAATGATGTTCTTATACTCGTGCCTTTGAGTCTCAACACGTACAGTAATGCGTTACAAACCAAATGAAGGTCTATATATATATATATATATATATATATATATATATAATTATCAAGCTACATTAATAAGTACATGCTTATAGCAGGAGCTCACACTCAGAGCTGTATCAGATTATGTTTTGCTGTCTGCCTCTGGTCCGTTTTTCTACACTTATGGCTGCAGTTTACCTTAAAGACTTGTATGTCAACTTGCTTTACTCTGTAGTAAAAAAAAATGCTTTCAGATTCCATTGATGATATGATGTAAACATAGTATATGTGCCTTTTTGCTGTTATGAAAATTCAAAACACTTTTCTTGACAATAAAACCTACAACGTATACAAATTGTCTTCAAACGTAGACTTTATTTGGCAACTCTGTTATCGTGGTTCAGTACTAATGAAAAAATAAAGCCCAAAAGATTAGACAAATGCATATTGTAAAAGCAAAAAACAAATGCTTTTTCACCCTGTCCATCAGTGTTAGTGTGTTACAACATGAAGAACATACATTTTCTTACTTATGAACACATTATAATCATAACAAAATATGTGACAACCGTTCTGGTCACTTTGGAAATATAACAGCATGAAAACACATGTATAAATTAGATTATTTTTTGCCAAAAGGAAGAACTTGAGATCAAAATTCAGCGACTGACATTCAAAAGCATTTGTCGGCTCGTGGGATCAAGAAGTGCTTCTTCATCCTACAAAACTACCCTCTTCTTCTGACAGACTTATGTTACTTCAAGATTGGTGACTCTGTTGATAATGTGTGAACGGCGGGGCACACACTCCAGGTCAAATTTGCTCTCGTATATGGTCGGACAGAGTTTCCAGCGGTTGTTTCTGTAGATTCCCAGATATGTGTACACATCTGGCTTGTAGGTGAGAGAGCACTTGACCCCTGCGGCACGGATGACAGAGTCTAGCCTCAAGACCTCGCTTTCGTCAGTGAAGTTCTCGTTATAGGCACAAATGACCTGCTTGCCCTCTCCCTTGGGGTTATGCGGACTGACTTTAACTAGGGAGATCTTGCCATCCAGGGCCGCTCTCGCCACACACTCCCAGGCATTGTCCAACTTGAAACCAGTGTCCAAGTGCATCAGCCATTTGCCTGTGAGCACTCCGTGGTTGAGGGCCAGCTCCTTCACTGTCTGGAAGCTGGCTGGCCGGCCGCTGGCCAAAAGTTTCTCCCAGCTCTCCTGCAGACCAGTGACATCCCCAACGCTGGGGCAGTGGTTCAGGCCCAGCACAGCTATCCACCCCACAGGGCTGACTCCACCTTCTTCATTGCCAAATCTGTCCACTTGGGAGGGCCCGTTGGTCTTCAGCCAGGCATCGAACTCGGATCTGGGAGTTCTTCTCGAGTCAAACACAATCCACGGGTCCATGTCTGCAGCCATGGCCTCAGCAGCATAGGTCTCTGCAGCGAAGGGAGTCGCCACCTCGACACCTCCAGGGGCCCCTTCCTCCTCCATGTTGCTGTTAGTTTAGGGGAATTTAACAAATCCTTCGTCTTACCTTGTTGAAATGAGAAATGCGTTCTTTATTAAAATAGTCATTAAAATCAAATGTGCACATTATCGATTAGTTTGGACTATTTCCAAATCTAGGCTAAAGTGAACCGCTGGATTGTTTACTAATGTTGCTAACTTACTAGCCTGCCACATTAGCAAACCTAGTTCTAAAGCTAACGTTTGTCCAACAAAAGTTAATTGCTATAAGCTTTTTTTAATCAATTGTGTGTGTAAGTTATACAGTTAACAGGAAGCGAAACACGAAAATATATTTGAAGCTAGCTAAGCGGCTAGCTAGCCATTAAACAATCGTCCACGGTTACATTATTTGCAATTTTGAAGAAGTAGCTTAACCGCAAACTTGATATCACACCTAACGTTTTAATATAAATACTTTGGATGTGGATAATAGGTACGATGGCAAACTGTGGACGTTGAGGCTTAACGTACCTGCAGGTGATGGCGTTGGTTGTCCAGTGTTGTTCTTCCGCTCACGCGCAGCACTAACTGACTGCGGTAAAGCTAGTTGCCGTTTAGATTATGTTGCAGTTTATTCTATTCGTGCAGTTACGGTACATGTGCTTTGAGCACGACGCTGAAGTTGGCTTCCGATTCAGAGCATCCGATTCGGCAGTTAAGGGGAAAGTTAAGGGACATTTAATTTACAGCGCTGAGCGAACAATCCTCCGTGTTTGAACCTCTTAAATCGCTGCATAGCCTATTTATTTGGACTGGATTATCCCAGAGGGTCTAAAGATTCTTTATAACACAGTTTGAGATTTGTGAAACCTTTATTCTATTTGTGAAAATACAAACAAGAGAGATTTCAGTGCTTGTTTCGCATCCTGACCACATTAGACCAGGGGCCTCATTTATAAAGGGATATACGCTCAAAAAATGGCGTACGCCAGTTTCTACGCAATGTTTCCGATTTATAAAATACTAACTTGACGGGAAAACGTGCGGTCCTCTACGCAAACTCTAACCCATGCGTACGCACTAAGCACAACAACGGGAGAGACGAGAAACTGCGACACCGTTGGCAGAAGGAAGAATGGAGAGAAATATGTGGAAATAATACCATAAATAAAATGTTACCTCTCATTTATCATATATGAATAATTCATATAATAATTCAAGCCAATCTTAAAATGATTAAACAAACGCCTGTTTGAGACTCCTCAGTGCACACAAAAACATAACTTGGAGAAATAAATACATACGGATATGTTATTTAAAACCACCTCGAATATGTTGTGTTAATGTTGTGAAATGTTTTCTCATAAATGATGCGGTTTTGCATTTCTATAGGTTGTAGATACGAGCATGGTTTTATATACTACCATGTTTAATCATGTTTTATGCCGTTTGCTAAGACTTGATAAGTCGCTCATAAAACACAGGAGGTATGGAAACTAAGAACACCATATGTGGTAAATTGTACAGCTAATATAACACAACACATTAGTTGTATTTCCTCTAACTGGTGGATATAGAGTTGCTGCGGGGGGGTTGAGATGCACAGGCTGCAGTGGAGACGCTGCGCACAGCTGATCGACAGCTGGGACACAAACCACCAAATACGAAAACATAATTCAGATCCAGTCGTCATGATCCACTCCGGAGGGATTCCCCGATCATTTCTTATAGTTTCTCATCAAGGGGGTGTCTCCTGTCCCCGGTACAAACACACTGCCTGAGGAAGGCTATGTGTATTTTTTTTGTCATGAACCTTTTTCGGACCACTTATTTATTTATTTTGGTGACGATCCGACCTCCATGCTGCTACTCTGGTTCAAACTGCATCCACCAAACAATATGATTTATCTCCACCTCCCCAAAATAACCTAAATCTGACACGGTGTGAGATGTCTTTTTTAGCTGTTCTGTCGTCATTTCCTGCGATCTTCTTCATAAAGTCAGTCAAAATGAATGAATGAATGGGCGTTTCTTTGACTATTTATAGGCAAATATGGGCGTTACGTGAAGTCCGCAAAAGCTGCACCGCATTTCGAGTTGATTGTGATTTATAAAGGGAAACCGGCGTAGGAAGTGCTGCACGCACTTTCCTCGCCGGTACGCAATGTTTGGTGAATCGGAAAATTTCGGAAAATGTCTGTACCTATTTTTTGGATTTCTACTACGTAAGCAACCTTCCCACGTGAATCCTACGCACGGCGTTATAAATGAGGCCCCGCAGCAACCCTATATCCACCAGTTAAAGGAAATACAACTAATGTGTTGTGTTATATCAGCTGTACAATTTACCACATATGGTGTTCTTAGTTTCCATACCTCCTGTGTTTTATGAGCGACTTATCAAGTCTTGGCAAACCATAAAACACGATTAAACATGATAGTATATAAAACCATGCTCGTATCTACAACCTATAGAAATGCAACACGGCGTCAGTTTAAAGTAATGCTGTCCTCCTGCTTACCGCATCATTTATGAGAAAACATTTCATAACATTAACACAACATATTCGAGATGGTTTTCAATAACATATCCGTATTTATTTATTTCTCCAAGTTATGTTTTTGTGTGCACTGAGGAGTCTCAAACAGGCGTTTGTTTAATCATTTTAAGATTGGCTTTAATCAAAGTTTGAAAATGAATTCTTCATGATAAATGAGAGGTAACATTTTATTTATGGTATTATTTCCACATATGTCTCTCCATTCTTCCTTCTGCCAACGGTGTCGCAGTTTCTCGTCTCCCCCGTTGTTGTGCTTAGTGCGTACGCATGGGTTAGAGTTTGCGTGGAGGACCGCACGTTTTCCCATCAAGTTAGTATTTTATAAATCGCAAACATTGCGTAGAAACTGGCGTACGCCATTTTTTGAGCGTATATCGCTTTATAAATGAGGCCCCAGGTCCTGATCTAAAACCACTAGACCTTACACTCATCAAATCTGGACTGGATTATCCCACGGAGGCTAAAGATTCTTTATAACACAGTTTGAGATTTGTGAAACCTTTATTCTATTTGTGAAAATACAAACAAGAAATCAAAGAACAATATTGATTTATTGTGATAGCTTCCAGTAGTAATTAATGCGTGCACCCAAACAGTTTGTTTTAGCAATTAATTAATCTGTACATTTGTTTAATTAACAATAATGTTCGTAAAAAACACTTGTCAGGGTTAGATTTGCAAGGGGGATGAGGGGCTCTTAATATCCCTGCCTCAGATTTATTATTTAACGGCACGTTGTGCTATTTCCTTTTGAAATATGTTCTGTTAAATATTGAAGTTTATAAATAGGCTATGTGTTTTGGCACGAATGGCCAAATGGTGCTTTCCATGGTACTATATATATACTAAATTATATATACTATATACTATATATGGTATACTATATGGTCTAATGTGGTCGACATGTGAAAAAAGCACTGAAATCTCCCTTGTTTGTATTTTCACAAATAGAATAAAGGTTTCACAAATCTGAAACTGTGTTATAAAGAATCTTTAGCCTCCGTGGGATAATCCAGTCCAGTTTTGATGAGTCTAGGTCTAGTGGTTTTAGATCAGGACCTGGGGCCTCATTTATGGAGGCCTGTGGTGCAGTGGGTTGTGAGTTGGTATTCGGATCAGGAGGTCACAGGTTCAAACCCCACTGCAGTCAGCATGTCGTTGTGTCCCTGGGCAAGACACTTCACCCCAAATTGCTCCTGTGGGGATTGCCCACAGTATTGAGTATGTAAGTCGCTTTGGATAAAAGCGTCTAACAAGTGACATGTAATGTAATGTAATGTAATTTATAACGCCGTGCGTAGGATTCACGTGGGAAGGTTGCTTACGTAGTAGAAATCCAAAAAATAGGTACAGAAATGTTCCGACATTTTCCGATTCACCAAACATTGCGGTTGCGGTTTCCCTTATAAATCACAACCGACTCGAAATGCGGTGCAGCTTTTGCGGACTTCACGTAACGCCCATATTTGCCTATAAATAGTCAAAGAAACGCCCATTCATTCATTCATTCATTTTGACTGACTTTATGAAGAAGATCGCAGGAAATGACGACAGAACAGCGAAAAAAGACATCTCACACCGTGTCAGATTTTGGTTATTTTGGGGAGGTGGAGATAAATCATATTGTTTGGTGGATGCAGTTTGAACCAGAGTAGCAGCATGGAGGTCGGATCGTCACCAAAATAAATAAATAAGTGGTCCGAAAAAGGTTCATGACAAAAAAAATACACAGCCTTCCTCAGGCAGTGTGTTTGTACCGGGGACAGGAGACCCCCCCTTGATGAGAGACTGTAAGAAGTGATCGGGGAATCCCTCCGGAGTGGATCATGACGACTGGATCTGAATTATGTTTTTATATTTGGTGGTTTGTGTCCCAGCTGTCGATCAGCTGTGCGCAGCGTCTCCACTGCAGCAACTCTATATCCACCAGTTAAAGGAAATACAACTAATGTGTTGTGTTATATTAGCTGTACAATTTACCACATATGGTGTTCTTAGTTTCCATACCTCCTGTGTTTTATGAGCGACTTATCAAGTCTTAGCAAACGGCATAAAACATGATTAAACATGGTAGTATATAAAACCATGCTCGTATCTACAACCTATAGAAATGCAAAACCGCATCATTTATGAGAAAACATTTCATAACATTAACACAACATATTCCAGGTGGTTTTAAATAACATATCCGTATTTATTTATTTCTCCAAGTTATGTTTTTGTGTGCACTGAGGAGTCTCAAACAGGCGTTTGTTTAATCATTTTAAGATTGGCTTTAATCAATGTTTGAAAATGAATTCTTCATATATGATAAATGAGAGGTAACATTTTGTTTATATTATTTCCACATATGTCTCTCCATTCTTCCTTCTGCCAACGGTGTCGCAGTTTCTCGTCTCTCCCGTTGTTGTGCTTAGTGCGTACGCATGGGTTAGAGTTTGCGTGGAGGACCGCACGTTTTCCCGTCAAGTTAGTATTTTATAAATCGCAAACATTGCGTAGAAACTGGCTTACGCCATTTTTTGAGCGTATATCCCTTTATAAATGAGGCCCCTGGTCTAATGTGGTCAGGATGCGAAAAAAGCACTGAAATCTCCCTTGTTTGTATTTTCACAAATAGAATAAAGGTTTCACAAATCTCAAACTGGGTTATAAAGAATCTTTAGACCCTCTGGGATAATCCAGTCCAAATAAATAGGCTTTGCAGCGATTTAAGAGGTTCAAACACGGAGGATTGTTCGCTCAGCGCTGTAAATTAAATGTCCCTTAACTTTCCCCTTAACTGCCGAATCGGATGCTCTGAATCGGAAGCCAACTTCAGCGTCGTGCTTTGAGCAGCCAAAATATAATTTAAAAGAACTTCAATGTATTCTCACATCTGACACACCTCTGTATCAAAGAGTTGTATGACAAACTCCATCAAAATGATCCACAGTTTAACAGTAGCTACTTGTGTAATGTAGCACAGAGAAGGCACTACTACAAATGTACCTCGGAAATTAAATATGTTCATAAATATGAGACCAAGCTGTGTTAATACAAATAAAGTACAATGTGGGGTTTGTATAAACGAAGTTTATGTGTGTTATTGTTGCATGTACGT